TGTTAAAACAGCTTTTGTTTGACCAAAACTTAAGCTAACGCCCAGTATATCTCTTAAAGTCTAATAAAACAACAACAAATTCGAATGTTTATTGAGCCAAACTTAATCTAATAAAACAAAACCAATTCGAATATTGTTTGTCCAAAACTTAAGCTAACGCCCAGTATATCTCTTAAAGTCTAATAAAACAACAACAAATTCGAATGTTTATTGGGCCAAACTTAACCTAATACAACAACAATAAATTCGGATATTTACTGGGCAAGATTTCATCTAACAAAATAACAACAAATTCGAATGTTTATTGGGCCAAACTTAACCTAATAAAACAACAATAAATTCGGATATTTACTGGGCAAGATTTCATCTAACAAAATAACAACAAATTCAAATGTTTATTTGTCAAACTTAATCTAAAACCTTGATATTCTGGGACCTGGTATCACTTTCATTATGCTTACAACTAAAAGAAAACAACCATAAACTCAAATGTTTATTTGTCAAGTCTTAATCTAAATTTTTTGTATCGTAATCATGGTTAAGTTACTAAAATAAAACGACCGCAAAATCAAATGTTTATTTTCAAAATGCAAAACTTAACTAAATTACGCAATATCTTCGGTCTTCTTCAACTTGAAGATCTTCCTTCTGCTAGACACCGCAGCTTCGACGTGTCGAGCTTGCTCCAACGGTGTTTGCGGCCTCGGTGAGTCCCTCGTTGTCCAGCGGTGTTGAAAGCTTCGGTGAGTCCCTCGTTGTCCAGCGGCGTTGAGAGCTTCGGTGAGTCCCTCGTGGTCCAGCGGTGTTTAAGGCTTCGGTGAGTCCCTCGTGGTCCAGCGACGTAGAACTGTCCTGCAAATGGCTCAGTCATGGAGACCCGTACACCTATAGCACAACTGAATTAGTTCAACTCTTCAGGCACGCAGAACAATTGGTCGCAATATAATTTCATATTTAAACAAAAACGACCAGATGAGAGATACTACAGAATTCCCTTAAACAAAACTTCTCTACCCTTTTTCTGTTTCCCTTTTTAATTTTAATCCCTTCATTTTTTTTTTTAAAGAAAAGCAAAACCCTTTAGAGAGTAAACAAGAAATGAAAACTTAGAATCTGATGACTTGTAGACTGAGGACATTGTGACGACAGACTCCTGTTGCTGGACGTCCGGCGTTGGTTTTCAGACGGGCCAGGACATCGGATTTTTCTGCATGTCACCTCTCCACTTCTTCCCTGGCAAGTTGTTGCTGTCTCCGCCTAGACTGGCTTCCAGACACATGGGAATGTGGGGGAGTTGGTTAGCGTCAGTGTAGCCTGCAGATAGTTCCTGGCAGTGACTCATGATTCATGAGTCGTTATAGTCTGAAAAATTCCAAATAAAATCAGTTCCACAACTTCATCAGTCGGGACGGTTTTTTTTAGATACTGGTTTGGACGCCTGTTGATCTTCCTCTTGACCAACCTCCCTCAGCCCAGGATTCGGAGTGATTTGAACGGGAAGGTATACATCTACATTTGCAATCTTGTGATCGCACGCCGAGTGTCCCACATCTGGAACAGAACAAAATAAATCTTCTCTGACATACACCACGTAGGTGTCCGGGAATTCCACATCGCCAGCACACATTCTTCTCCACCGGAACTCGATCAGAGTTTTTAAGCAATACATCTTTGGAGTCAGAATACTTGTTGGTTTGACGTCTGCGGAACTCTTCTACAGGGCTTTGTAGACTCGTTTTTATCGGAAGGCGACTGCCTTTAGAAACGGATGCTTGACGTTGACCTTTCCTCAACTTCTCGGTTGTTTGTTCAACATTTTTTCCCTCGGGTTTACTTGTAAACCTTCGGCGGAAACTTCGGATCTTTAAACTTGACATGACATTACAAGACGAAACCACCGATTCTGCACTCACCAACTTAGCATTCAATCGGATCTGTCGGGTTCGTAAATCAATCTGGAAGTCATGTTTGCCCAGAATATCCATACCAATAATCATATCCGAAACTAAGTCTTTTAGACTGTGGAAAACCTCATTCAGAGACTGCTCTCCTACTTGGATTTTCATCCTAAATGCTGTGCTAATGGACTCCGTGGCACCATTAGCAAGTCTCGCTCCTTTTACCGTGGGTTTGACAGGAATTGCCTTGGAAGTTTGGCACTGTTCTGTCAATTTCTTTCCAATATAGGAATGGGCAGCTCCAGTATCCAGGAGTGCCAAATAGTCGGTGTTCCGGTAGCGAATCTTCACAACAGGACGAATTTCTTGACGTAAGATTTGTGGTAATTCTTCAACAATCTCCGTTGGTGAATAATGTTGTTCCTGGGATATTTCTGTGCAGTTTGGTTCCCGCTTTCTTGGGCTCACACATGGACAATTCCTTGAAAGAACACCTGTCTTTTTGCATCGGGAACAAAAGATTTTGGGCTCGGATGTGCACTGTCTGCGGAAGTGTCCTGTCTGTCCACATCTCCAACAGATTGCTTCTGAAGTCTGTTTTGCAGAGTTCGGCGCTCTATACGGATATCTTGAAACACGGGGAGTAACAGACACATATCTCTGTTTACTCTGAGACGGCGATTGGCTCTGGATAACCATCAGGTTGCTCCTGGCTCCAGCATGCTCATTTTCCGGCATGGTTTGCCGAGGCGTATTATTCGGTCGGACTTCGACATCGGACGGTGCATAAGTACGGGACGATCGCTGCAGTTCCTGATTAAGCAGTTCAAACTCCTTGGTTATTCGAGAGAAAGACGAAATATCATGAAAGTCTCCTCTCCGGACATCCTGACGAAATTCAGGTAGCAAATTTCTGTACAACCACTGTAGTTCTTGATTCGGAGAGATGCTGCCATGTCTGCGGATCAACGTTTGCAGATCAGTGATGTACGCCGTGACAGACTCGTCATGTCTTTGCACTCGGCGACTTATCTTCGCCTCTAGGTCCACCTCATAATTCACTGGATAATAAAAAATTTTAAATTCTTTAGTAAATTCTTCCCAGGTCCTGTAATTTACTCGGTTATTGCGGTACCAGAGCGCAGCTTCTCCTTGCAAAACTTCTGGCAAATGTGGCAATAAACGATCCGGATGTATATTCTGTGCTATACAAATTTCTTCCAGTCTCTCTAAGAATGTTACAGGGTCCGAGCGACCATTAAATGTCACCCCCCATTTGTAAACTTGTATAGGATTAGTATTAAAACTATTTGACATACCTGGATTTATCGGCAGAGGGACAGGCTGTGAAGTAGAAGTATAGACCACCGGAGAAGACATTTCGGATTTCACACGTCCAGCGATGTATCCACTCGAGGTTGCTGTCACTGTAGTTGTCACTGTAGTAGTGGTCAGGGTGGCTATAGAGCTCACTGTCGGTACAGCAGCACTATTTCCGGAAAATCCAAAAGGCTGTGTGACAGGCTGAGGACTCGCCTGTCCTTCTCTAATGAATCTCACTATTCTTCTTCGCATTTCCTCAACGGTCCCGGTACTATCCAATCCAAAACGCAACAATTGTGCAGCTAATTCAGACTTCTTCAGGGAATAAATCCACCCCGTCCTGAAATCAGATTCAGCACTCGTGCCAGACGGCGCCAGGTTCAAACCTGTATGTGACAGCGACGGTACGGCGTCGTTACCTTCAACGGAAGCACCGATCGACAAAAAATCTTCCTCAGTTTCCATATCGCTCTAGATTTCACTAGTCTTTTTAACTCAGAAACACTGAGACTTACGACCTACTCTCGATCACTTTGGCGGTGGGTGCTTACCTTATACAATACGGCGGCAGGCGGCTGGCAGCTGGCAGCAGGACACTTGGCAGGGCACTCCGGACTCGAACTTCACTGTTCACGTGCGACCACACAACTAACTCTGTCGCCAGTACTGCCGAGGTGTACTCGACTACGCTCCCCTCCACTCAACCTGCACTGGTAGGGCGAGCGGCGCAAACGTCTCGGTTTCTCGCACCGAACCACGGCGACCAAAACCGATCAAAACTCTCTTACAAAATGGCAATTAAATATTTAACTTATTTAATTCAACAATAGAAACATTAATGAAGTTCATTACAATAATGAGTTAACAATAAAATACCCCTGCCTGTCATTATTACAAAAGAGAATCAAGTCTCTATTATTCTAGTATAATATTAATATAATATACAGGGTGGCCCAGAAATTTTATGAACTTCATTACAATTTAATAGCTGTTAGTAGAAATTTTACTTCAAATATGCGCACATAGTATACTAACAATCAATTTATATTAATAACGGAGATTAAAATAACAGAATAAATAGTTCTTTTCTCTATATCACTACAAAATAAAACTATAGAATACAACAGTATTTAAAAAAAAATAAAAAGTGATGTTCCGGCTGAGATTCGAAACCTGGTCTCGATTCCTAGTCTGACTCCCCATGCACTGCTCCATAGTAACTTGCTTAGCGATAATTCAATGACGGTATATAAACAAAAAAAAATAGTTTATAACAATATCTCTATCGATTTCCAACCTGGCGCGTTAAATGAAGAAATGCGTATGGTCTCTCTGCAAGTGGTCCTATCGTGCGGTCCCCGTCCATACCACTAGCGTACGTTCGTTCGTTCGTTCGTTCGTTCGTGCGGATAATGAATACGCACCTTTACAAAATGGCAATTAAATATTTAACTTATTTAATTCAACAATAGAAACATTAATGAAGTTCATTACAATAATGAGTTAACAATAAAATACCCTGCCTGTCATTATTACAAGAGAATCAAGTCTCTATTATTCTAGTATAATATTAATATAATATACAGGGTGGCCCAGAAATTTTATGAACTTCATTACAATTTAATAGCTGTTAGTAAGAAATTTTACTTCAAATATGCGCACATAGTACACACACAATTTTTTTCTTACATAGATCAATTGAATGTAAACATATATTCCGTTACATATATTCAAAGTGAAGAAATATAATAATCTTATTACCTAAATTTTGTTTTGCAGGTTTTGTTGGGTGGAGGCCGTCGCCATTGGCTTCCCAAAGTGGCCCATGACCCCGAACAAACAAAAGAGGAGGGCAGGCGACTGGACGGGCGGAATCTTATCGACGACTGGGTGCGGGACAAAAAGAAGAGAGGAATCAAAGCGGAATACGTGTGGAATAAAAGCCAATTGGATAAAATCAACCCTAATCAGCTTGATTATGTCCTAGGTAAGGTCGTCCTTTTGTCTTTCACGGCTGGCGATTCCGAAGCGCTTTGATTTAAAACATTTTTTGTCTACATTTTCATACTTTCCACACTTCCTTAATATAAGTGTCCCAAATAAATAAAAAATAGCAATGTTGTATTTTTTTTTAAATGGAAGACCCTGTACATTATTACATTTTTAGTTTAGATCTTGAACTATGCATACATGAAATTAAAAGGTGTAGCGAATATAAATATTTAGGAAGCATTATATCTAAAGAAGGGTCCAAGAGAGATATACATAGCAGAGTTCAACAATGGAAGAAAGTAATCGGTCTTTTAAACCCTCCCCTGTGGTCAAATAAAACATCAATCCAAACAAAGCTAAGGATTGACAAAGCAATATTTAACATACACAGCCAATTTTAACATACGGTGCCGAATGCTGGCAATTTACATCAAAAGAAAGAAGGATGGTCGAGTCAGTGGAGATGGACTTTCTTAGAAGAGCATGTCGAATATCAAGCATGGAGCACATTAGAAATGAGGAGATCAGGCAAAGAACAAGGCGAATATATACCAGCACCGACAACATCGAATCGATACAGCTACTATGGTATGGACACGTAAAAAGAATGGGAGGGGAAAGATGGCCTAAAAAGGCAATGGAGTATCGTCCACAAAGCAGAAGAAAAAGAGAAATACCTACAACTACGTGGTTAGATGGAGTAGACCAGTACATGAGAGATAGAGCTATTAGCCAGGAAGAATGGCAAAATCGAGCAATATGGAGGTCGAAATGCGGGATACGGCAGGAGCTGTAGGACCCCCGCTTTATATATATAATATTACTAATATTAATTTTTGAAATATTTACGTTTTTGTGAAAATACAGTAACAGTTGTGTTATACCATTTTTGATCTATCTCTTCAAGTTTTCCTAGAAAATGAATTTTCTTATAATTTAGAATATAAATGGAATATAAATAAGTTATTGCCGTTTAAAGCTAGTAATATTTTTGCTATTGCATCACAAAATTTAGTAAATAGAAAAACTTCAGTACAATATTTGGTTTATAAACTTAAATAAACCTAGAAAAATGAAGCATTAAAATTGTTACTGCATTTTCACAAAACCGTAAATATTTCAAAACCGCTAAGATTAAAGTGGGGTAAACCTTAATTAAATTTATCTTTATTTTAAGAGTGGAAACTAAAAATGTAATAATATAAAGGGTGGTCCATTTAAAAAAAAATACAGCTTTCATATTTTTTTCTTTATTTGGGACACTCTGTACCATTTGAAAATTAATTTTAAATTAGTAGTACTCCAACGATCCCTTCATTCACAATTTTTAAAAATCCAATCATTTGGCTACAATACTTCATGTCGAATGTGGTGAATAACTTTGTATATATTTATTTTAATCACCGAAATTAAAAAAAATAAAGCATTTTAAGTCAAAACGAGGACGGGTCCTATTGTTTATGCGGAATCCAAACCGCCATATCATTGTGAATACCATACCGACTTGGCGAGAGTCTATAGGGACTTGTACTTACGCACTGGCGCGCGGCGTGAGTGGGCACATTGGATTCATGATATTTCGATACATAATTGCTACGACATAATATTTCAATATTAATTACAATGTCCATACTTAAAATAACTGACATAATACCATAGAATTAAAAAAAAGCGGGGTCAGAGAGGGCTTGGAAATGAAGATCGCTGTTATCTGCAAAAATCTGTGGTAAATTTCAATAGTCATGATTAGCAGTTCTGATTTATTTTGTTCTCTATGTTTTTTGGGGTGCTGAATCCTAATCTGGCGTTTGCTAGCCTAAAATTTCGTGACGGAACATTGAACAAAATGCAAAAAACTCTAAAAATATATTTTTTGATATTAAATACCTCTATGCAGGGTGTCCCAGAAATAAGTGCAAGTATTTGAATTGGAACTCCAGAAACACGCCTATGAGGTTTTTTTCGGGAAATTTTTTGAAAAATTTTTGGAAATTTTTATAGTTTTTAGTTAAAAAACATAATTTCTTGATAATATGGCAACATAGGTATTAGATTAAATTTACAAGAAAGAAAATCCAGAAAGGATCCAGTGTTTCTCAAAATTTTACCAAAAAATATTTTTTTTTGGAAATTTTCAAAGTAAAATAACTCCGTTATTTTGGACTTATTTGAAAAACGATAAAGAGAAAATATGTTTCTTTTATCGAGATCTACCACACCTTAAAATACTTGCACTTATTTCTCGAACAGCCTGTATAATAAAAGTAGACAACATTTCCGACAAATCAATTCTTTATATTTTTTTCCTCGGACAATTCGATTAGGCTCTAGCCCTGGTTCAAGATTAACAAATTTTGAGCTATCGCTTCAAAATCCATATTTTTCATTGAAGACTGGATGTATATTATAAAAATATTATATATTTTATAAAATTTAAGTTGCAGACTAAAAAAAAACTACTATTATAATATAACATTCATACAGCATTCAAATTTATAATGTTTTTGCCTGCAGTCCTCCTGTCCTGCATTAACAGTTGTGTTGACAGACTGTTTTGCCTTTGCATCAAAATGATTGGCACTGGAACAAGATCTTTTCATATGCTTTTCCACTCCCACTCGTTTGGATTTCTTTTTTGCTCATTGTACGTAGTTTGTGTATTATATCTTATTTTGTGTAACCTTAAATCGTTCAGTGCAGCCTGATTTCTATGTAGTTTATATATCCATAAGAAATAAGTTTTAATCTTCAGCAATATCGTTCTAGTTATTTATTTATTTATCGTATGGCCATACATGCAAGAAAAAAAAGACTGTTAAACATAGACATGATATAAACCACAATGTAAACGAAAACATTACAATGTAAATATAAAAAAAATCATGTATATGATAAAAAGACAACATAAAAAACGTATTTACGAACACTATATATTGACATCTAGATGCCCTATCCATTCCAAAGCTGCTGGAGAAGCCTCCAGAAAGCCCCCCCAGACTTCACCATAAGCGCGTAGGTTGCACTCTCTAGTTATGTGGTGGATGGTTTAGTGAGGGGTCCGCAATTACATTCTGCGGAAGGCATTTTCCCCCACTTATAAAGGGAATCCGCACATCTTTCAGGGCCAGAGCGTATCCTATTCAAAGTTGACCGTGTTTTCCAGTTTAGATCGGTATCCGGTATCTGGCAATAGTTATTTTCGAACCAGAAGTATAGGTGCGCATCGGCCATTTCTCTCCATAACTGAAGCCACTGTTCTCGAGAATTCTAGTTACTGCTTTTTAGCTGTTCAGCTGTTCGCAAAGGTGGGTTTCTCCACTTCAATCTTGTTACCTGTAAAGCAGGAAGTTTTTGATGGACAGGGAGCGTTGGGGTAGCTATTATTTTATCAAAGTCTCTAAGAAGAGCCTCGTTTCTGCGTATATTTGGAGGTAGAATGTTACTCAGAAATGGAAGCCGGTAACTAAGTGTGGATCTGATTGTCTCTGTAATCAGCCGCATGGTGTTGTTCAGCTGTCTGTCTACGAGATTTGTATGGTGGCTGTTCAACCACACGGGTGCACAATACTCTGCCACACTGAATACCAGAGCAAGAGCGGAGATCCGAAGTGTTGTTGCTTTTGCACCCCAAGAAGTACCACAAAGTTTTTGTATAATATTGTTTCGTATTCTGATTTTACCAGCAACATTTTCTAGGTGTTTTCGAAATGATAGTGTACGGTCTAGAGTAATCCCCAGATATTTTGGATATTTGTTGTTACGCAGAGTGGTGTTACCAAACTGGAGGCTTATTTGAGCATTCGCCAGCTTGTTATTAAGATAAAAGGTAGCCTTCTGTTTTATTTGCACTGGGTTGAAGTCTCCATTTTATAAAATAGGCCTTCAAGGCTGCGAGATCCTTTATTAGTGTTCCTTGGGTTTGGAATAGCGATTCATGTTCAGTTGCTATAGCTGTAACGTCTGCGTAACAAAATTTTCTTGATTGGGTATCTGGTAGGTCAGAGATGTATAAGTTAATTAAGAGAGGGGCGAGAACGGAGCCTTGGGGTAAGCCGTTCTTAAGTTTTTTAGGTTTACTTGTGCTCTCTCCAGAAACACTTGGATATATCGGTTACTTAGCATGTTGTTGATAACTCGAGCTATAGTTTGACAAGGAAGTGCTTTAAGTAATTTATAAACCATACCATCTCTCCAGACTGTGCTGAAAGCGGCTGTTAAATCGACAAAAGCTATGGAAGTTTGAAGCTTAAGTTGGAAATTTCCTTCAATGCAAGATGTGAGTGCTAGGACTTGGTCACAGCAGCTGCGTTTAAGAATGAAACCTGCCTGTTCAACCAGTTATTTTAGTTCTGCCAGTTATTTTAGCTATATGGTCTAAGATACTATCCTTTATTCTATTAAAAATAAGTCGTTCTAGGAGCTTATAGGTACAACTGAGAAGGGCTATGGGTCGATAATTCTGTGGTTGATCTTTATATTTTCATGGTTTTCGCACAGCTATTATTTTAGTTTTCTTGCCTGTTGATAAAATTCTCGAGAAGAAACTGCAAAGCCATTTGAGGGCAGTTCTTCCAGCGTAAATAAGGAATTCTGGATGAATGTTGTCATATTCAGGGGCTTTGTTTGGCTTGATGTCTTCAATAGCTATGACTATGTGTTCAATTTAATTTTTTTTCACTCTCAATCTCAATTGTGTGCTCCTTATCACGTCGAGACCTGGATGAGTTTTGGAGAACAAAAAGGAGATATTTGTGGAGACAACCAAGAAACGCTTTCAGGGAAAAAAAAATTTAATTAATAAAAATTATAGGAAATTGTATTTATTTTAATATTGAATAGGATATTATTTAGGAAAAAAAAAATAGAAAAATTCACAACTACTAGAACTACCCCACAACTTTCCCCCAAAAGGCTTTTTTGAGTACAATTTCAATAGACTAAAAGCCAAATTGACGCATTTTTTTCGATTCTGCAGTATGTTACAACCTTTAGTAA